CATGCGCACTTATAAACCCGCCGCCATAATCGACGCTCCTAATCCGGATCACTCGATCTCCAGATCATCCGCTCGCAATCTCTGCCAGGCCGATCTGCTCGCTCCTATCCAACAGGAAGAGTCAGTGCTGGCATAACCGCATATATCACGGGGCTTTTGTCAAACACATCGGAGACCTTGTACATGTCAGGGACATCGTACTGGCAGGAGTCACGCAGCAACACCACGTCTTGCTGCCTACACTTACAAAATAATAGCATTAGTAAAAAGTCAGGGATTAAAAGTCTGTTAAAGTGCTGTCTATTTTAAATACTTATGCTTCTGCAGGGTACATTCTGTGAAAGAGAGCCTTTATGCCTTCCCGCACATGGCCCACCAGCTCGCCAGCTGAGGCAAGGTATATGAGCTTGCGGAAGGGCACTATGCTGCCGTTGTCTTCATAGGTATCAACGCCCACAAAGTTTACTCTTAGCTTGTAGCGGGGCAAGAGCTGGACGGTGTGTGTGGACATGGGATGTAAAAAAGTGATCGATTCTTGGGTATTGGAAAAGTGGAGGTTGTGTGCAAAGAGAGAGAGAGAGAGAGAGAGAGAGAGAGAGTACACAAGAGCAATGAACGGGGAAAAGAAGAGAGAAAAATAATGGAATCAGCAAGAAGACAGAAGAAATAGGCCAAATGGTTGGAATATGCTCGCTATTCCCCACCCTTAACAATGTGGTGCAGGACGAAGATGGCAAAAGGAGACGTATGATCATCGGCTTGACCCTCGCGACTCAGTGAGCTGAGCTATTTGCTCAATAGGCCATTGCCTAGCAAAGCCTCACCATCCTATATATAATTAAATCAAGCACAACTACGCTATCAAGCCCCTCGGTGGCCGAATATGAGAAGCTAGGAGCGCTACCATATTCTTTAGGGTGTATGTCATTTGCAAAATATGGAATTGCATTTTCCCCACGTATCCTCCATGGGTACCTCGTCTTTTCTAGGCCATTTATTTACAAGCAACGTGAAACTCTTTTCTCTTTATTGCATTCTTTACGCTTATCCAAATGGCTCTTCTCCACTTCATTCTATGCAGTGGTAGCGCCGATATAATTGGGATGTATTGCGGTGCTGCTCCACACAATCGCCAGAAAGTGGGGCAATCGAGGTAATCAAGCATTGTTCCTGAGGAGCGCTGGTCGAGGAGTGGCATTGTTTGCATCGGTTTATTCATCCCGTCTACAACAACGCTTGTAATAGTACCACTTTTGCCAGCATATGGTGATAATATGAAAGGGCTAGTGATTTATGCTTAGGCGCATTCTGATCAGGCACTGCTGCATATGTACCGTTTCCTGCTCACTTTGATTAATTTCATGCAGCCATCAATCAACGGGCCTTCTTTAGTAGGGTTTTCGTCATAGTCAAGACAACAAGCTTTTTACCGCTGTTATAGTTGTAGGCGGCTATCGTTGAACTCGTGGACATGAGCTCTATGCTCCTCGCACGGACTTCACCAACCTAATAAAACAGCTACCTTCGTGTGCCCGCAACAACATCTTTGCTACACCTTGCGTTATACCTGGCCTGCGTAGAAGCATATCTTCCATCATGCCCGGCAACTGTTATTCAAATTGCGAGTGCCCAAGCCCATTGACACATTTTTGTGTCTCATGCAAAAGACGACTCAACAAGTGCAACCACGCCCCCTTTCAGATCAATATTTGCACGTCTATGCCATGTATGTCTACAAATTAAGCCGTGCGCTTCTTGGAAAAACCGTTGTCAGCTGATTACAAAAGGCATGGCGACAAATTAATGTTTGAGCGCGAATGCCGAGTGCACAGCTGACCACGTCACTCGCCACTCCCGTTGACCCGTTATTGCCGATTGAAAAAGATTGAATACCCGGGCTTGGCCAAGCGCCACAAAAGGCCGGATGGTCTGGCATGTGAGTGGATTGACAAGCGCCGAAGGCCAGAAAGAAAAAAAAAAGTGCAAAGGTTTGCAAAAAGAAGATTAGTGCTGATCATACCAGGGGTCGAACCTGGAATCTCTTGGTTCGTAGCCAAGCGCCTTTCCATTTGGCCATATGACCTATGCTGCGTTGAGCCAACAACACATAAGCTACTGCTTTTAGTGAGCTCTAAGAACTACAGGGTTTTCTTTTCTACAAAGCCAAAGCCGGCGCCAAAAGCCTCGCTCCAAAGCCATCTGTTGCGCTCTTTAGCTTGCTCTGCGCTGGCACAGTTAATAATTGCACAGCAGGGACATGGGACTAAAAGGATAGAGCATGTAGCCAGGGGCGCTAGGCGCTACACTTTTTTTTGTTTGCATTCTCCCTGATCTAGTATATAGCATATGGCATGGGCAGAATCCACATTGGAAGAGCGCTTCTTCTATTTGGCACTTGGCAGCGGCAGAGCTTGTAGCATTAAGGTGTGCCAAAGAGCGCTCCTTACCAATAGCAGTCGAATTGTGCTAGAGAGTCTACAAGTACAAATGTAGACATAACCCAGAATCGAAAGCACGGTAAAAGGGATTTATAGCACCAGCAATTTCCACAAAATACATTAAAGTTCAACCAACATGTTTCAGACACCTAGTATCACTATGTGCAGCCTTACACGGCAACGAGCAATAGCGCATCCCGCAGTCAATACAGGCATAAAGACCCCGATACCCGCAAATAGAACAAAACAATCTCTTCACCCCAGATTCATTCCCAATCGCCGTAAGACACCCTAAATACAGCCCACTAGACCCAGGCTCCCTAGCCAGCATATCAGAGAACGTCCGACGCTGAGCAGCCAGTAATCGGGTTTCCTTGCGGTTAGCGCGTTTTAATCCCTCCTCAGAAGTGCCGACAATAATGGAGGTGCTGGGTTTGGGCGCGGAAAAGTCGGATCTCGGACGACCAGGTCGCTTGACTAGTGATTCGGTTCCAGAGACGATGGGCATGTTATCAAAATCAGGCAGGGCATTATAGTTGTCGCGTTCGAGGATCTGTAGGCGAGCGCGTCGCCGCTGCTCCAGCGTTGTTTTGTCCCAGTAATAGCCCCCGCCCCGAGCGAGCCCACGACGAGCTCCCAAAGACATGATAGAAAAAAGACTAAATGTTTGTCAACTCGACATACTTTTATAATTCCATTTATCCGTAAATTGTATTTGTTCGATTTTTTACGGGAAAACAACACG